TAAAAAGGGAGATACAAACGAATCTGGACTGAACAGCGAATGCAACTTTCATGAAAACTGATCAAGTGGTCGTTTAATCGGAAGCACGTAATCAATTTTTATTAATCTCTTTACTATGAATGTCGCGTATGCATCGATCTAATTGGAATTGAAAAAGCGTTAAAGTAAAATTTCTACTAAGTAATTAAAATTGTTAATTTAGTATATTTTATAGGTGTGTTACATAATTATCATCTGTTAACCTTTAGGCTGCCGGGAAAGCCACTTTTGTGGCTCTGCACAAATCTCAAATTCTGCGCTATGTGTATGTTACTTATATAGAAAAATTTTTGAGAAAAAAACCACTTTTTTAATGAAAAAATATCGGCAGCTTAAATGTTATTAAATTAAATATATAGGTGGTCCCCCTTTTTGCGAAACACAAAAATGTGTGACAACAGATCACCGTTGTCAAACCACCGTCACTAGTTCCATTTTATTCTTAATAATGCTTTGTTCAGCATATGTGTTTTCTAACGATTTTAATCGATACTGCGATTTGTACACAAATTATTTCTCTTTACAAAACTATTTTATGAAATTATTATATTTAATTAAGGTAGTCAATTATTATAAAGATAATTGGTCTCAATGATGAGTATATTGCTTTACGATGCACGTATTAATTATCTACCTTCTTCTCTTATTTTTTCAAAGATAAACAAATCAAACTGATCATGCTATATCGAAAAATTAATCTTCATATCAAGCTCACTTGTCGATTTTACACCTATTCCGTTGTCGGTACTTGAAGTTATAACTGAACTAGTAAAGAATCACAAATTGCTTCAACAAGCAGTTAATTATCTATCAGTTTGCTTTCATGGCTAAGCAAAGTAGTTGTACGCAGCATTATTTTACTTCCTATTAATAAATTCGTGACTATATTTGCTTGGTGCGCATTATAAATTACATTCTAAACGTAAAATCCTATAAATAGATAAGTTGCAATATTGTATCGCATAAGAGTCGAACAGCAAATGACCTTTAACTAGCTCGTAGTCTTGATAAATCTTAGGAGTAAAAGATATTATATTTTGCCTATATTCTTCGATATTAATCATATCATTAACAAATATATAAAAAAAGTCATATTTTTTGGAAAGGGATATTCTTACTCCCAAAATTTCCTTTCAACTAAAGCAAAAAGTATTTCATTTTATATTCTATATAAAAATATAAAATTTTTTATATATTTCTATATAAAAATATTTTAATATTATATTTTATTTTGTTTTATGCTAAACATATGTATAGGGGGAACCAGAGCTAATTGGCTATCAGGGTAAGTTGCTAAAACCGGTTATCTCTAGTATTTTCTAACAAGTTACAAAATTAAGCAAATAAAATTTTTAAACGTGTCAAAGATGGCTTTAAAATGTCTGCTTGATTGATTCTAAAATCTGTTAAAAAACAATAGAAATAATCGATTTTGTCGACTTACCTCTGTGGCCAAATAGCCCCTGTCTCTCTTACTCCATATTTGAAAAGCTAATATATATAAAATATAATGTAAAATTTAATGATCAGACATTAACGAATTGCAGGCGATACAAATATCACGTCGCGCCAATGCTGATGATAAATATAATTATAAATCTTTCAGTTTGGAACAGTTACACTGTGTTAATTGCTTACAGATAGTTACTCTCACAGATTAGTTGTATGCCATAAATATGCCACGTGGGGATTTTAATCGTGTTTACTGCACATGATAGCTATTGTAAAAAGTGTAGCGACGATATCATGCACCATGCAAACAAAATATCTCAATCATTTAATTAGTTATATAATTCTAAAGCGGTTCCTAATCTTCTCGACTATAGGATTGATTCATAATTCAATCGGGTTCAACCGAGATTACACGCCATCGTTAAATTTAGAATCGGAACATTATAACGTATTTCAGAGATAAATTGTTGTTTGTTTCAAAGGCTATCCTGACAAGACTTAAAAATATTTTCATTTCTTTCTCTCATTTAACGTATATTTAACGTCACTACTAACGGTCATTTCTCATCGTTATTTTAGATAGTCAATCTTCATAAAGACTAATAAACTACAAAATCTGTCTTTGCAATTATGCTTAAATAAATGCTTCTTCCCAAAAACCCTAAGAAATGAATAAGTCGTAAAAGATTAAATTTTTTAAGGATAAAAATCTGTATGCTTGTATCAAAATCAACTAATATATCTAAAATATAGTCAATGAAATATATTTACGTTTTGATGATGTACTGAGAGAAAAAAGAATCGATCTATGTAAAATTATAATTATTTTTAGCTCTCCATGCATATATTTTGAGTGTTCTAATACGAAAATGGTAGTAACAAAGACATATAAGGTTATTATCACTAGCATTAGACATATAAGGTTATTATCACTAGCAGAATTTACTTAAAGAAATAGTTTTGTTCGTCATATTTTACAATAATTATTTCTCTATGTAATTAGTTACCAAACATTTCTTTCTCAATGTGCGCCAATTTTATTCTTATGGTGATTTTAATCACCTGGTAATCTCATTAATCAATGCAGATTATCCAAAACTTTAGTCCTTATAATTACCTCAAATTTAAGATTGTCTGTAAGAGACATAGACTTCCGTAAATAATTGCCATTGCCGAATCCTCGCGAGAAAGAGGATAGTGAGATCACAAATTGTGGTGCCGCTTCAGTAACACCGTCGTCGCGCAAAAAATGAGAGGATGAGACGGCGGGCGGCACGGGGTCGAGATAGGGCAAAGGGTTAGGCGAACAAACATCGTTAATTCGCGCGCGGATTTCAGCCCCAACCTGGCAGAAGCCAAAGGGTCAACATTACCGCGGTTACGTGTATGCGCAGCAAATACTCCTCGCCTCGGTACGCACTCGACAGACCAACGCCGAATCTCCGTCGGTCGACTCACGGGGTCGTAGCAGACAACGGGGGAACGGTGACCCCTTCGATCACCAACCTAATTGTCTAATTGGCAAATAAATCCCCATTGTTTTCCAATCGCGCGATCGATATGCGCTCGCCGGCGAGCTATTTATTCGCTTTTCCAGTTAGTACGGTCCGCTCAAGAGCTCTTATGGTAGTGTTCTTCCGATCAGACGAGCCAGGATGAATTATACGCGGTATAATATTTGACACCACGGGTGTCACCGTTTGCATGTCAATCGGTCAATTGTGCACGAGTACAACATGTGCGCGCCAGAAAGAGCAAAGCGCGAGAAAAGCTCTACGGGACGCCGGCACTTTGAACTTGATCTCGCGAAAACAATCAACTCGTTCTATGCTTTTCGCTTGTTCCATATTTACACGCTTACACGCCATATTTACATTCCGCGCTTAAGGGGATGCTGGAGTCGATGACGAACTCGAACAGTATCGATAATGCAGAGACGATCGTCAATAACATAATCACGCTATCCTTTTCGTATTTCTTGTACATATAGAACTTATATGAATATATGTTGCTTTGTTTAACCATACTCAACGGAAAACCTAACCATATATGTGTAGAAATCTTTCTGCAAACTTTTCGATATTCTTAAGCTTCCAAATGCGGATGCGAAGATAGAGCAATGTTCTTCAAAATTTTTCTGCTTGGAGCATCCACGATTTCGGTACAAGCTGCGGAACTTTTTAGATTAGGCAAATATTACTCTAACTGATAGCTTGAGATTTTACATTAAAAATTTTTTGTCCGTTTTCGACACATATCGAGCAATGCTCCTATTTATTTTTGCACGTACTTTCATTGCGTAAAAGCATTTGTAATTCTGTGTAACCAATACGACGTAAACTTTGCAGAAAAATGTCAGTGTTCTATCGGTAGAGTTTTTAGCTTCAGCATCCCCTTAAACAAGTTAATCAGAATGATAAAATGATAGAAAATGAATTCGGATGTGCAAGACGATTTGTTTCAATTTTCTCATACAAACAACTTCGTAACTATATACAGTTCATGATAGCTGCTTCTTATTACAATATCTCATTATTTTATTGTTAAACTATGTGTGTACCGTATTACTGTTTATCGTATGCAAGAATCAATCTGTATACTCCAGTACACCATTAAAGTTTCCTGCAGTGGTAAAGCGCGTCTCGTTAGAGAGTGAACTAATGGTATAGTGAATTGGAAGGAGGCAGAGTCGAACGATTATCGGACAATAGTTTGTTAGTGAGGTTCACCTGCTGTATTGTTCTCGGAGAGAAATGTGGATTCAGCTCTAACACACGATTCATTCTGTTTCTGCATGTAAATCAAGCGACATACATTTATCTCACACATCCGAGCAATTTCTTCGAATCTTCCGTATTATTCTTCGTGAAAACAATCTGAATTATTATGATTCATGGTCGACTCACATTTCACTAATTTCATTTATATAAAAAACTTTCATAATCATATTCAATAGTCGAAACTAAAGACAATATCTTTTTCAAAAACATCTTATTCAACGAAGAGAAACTACTTCAAGATCGATATAATTTATTAAAATGAATTAAGATAATTTCAATAGAAAAAAAATATTGTCCAATGAATTATTATTCTTCTTAAGACTCTAAATAATCAATAAAAATAATCTTTTTTCCTCTGAATCAAAGTGAGCCATTATGGCATGATCAATAATAAATATATCTGTCGAGAGACAGTTCAATGTTGTAAGAAATTTTATATTATTTGTAAAGGAATTTTTATCTAATTGTAATTGTTATAAAATCTCAATAAAAAATTTTGTAAATGTTCAAAAATAAGTATTATACAACAGTGGGCAGAAAAATGTTCTTGAAGATATTAAAAGTTTTCAAACATGTATATGTTGTTACATGTATATATTATTAAAATTAAGAAGAGTAATTCCTCTTTTCAATACTTTTTGATAAAATAATTCACATGATCCAAAATTTACAAGCAATACCAGAAATATACAATGATATTATAAGAGATAAATATTAAAAGATGGTTAATTTAAACTATATATATAAGGTATATTTAAATATAGTGACCGAAAAGTCTTTTATCATTTTGCGAATAATTACAATACTATATACAATAAAGCACAATGATCTTGACACATCAACTAAAAGAAATTGACAAATCAATACACGCAATGTAACGGAACGAACTTTGTAAAACAATCTGAAGAGACGTGTCTAGTTCTTGTTCATTGTTCCAAGCAACGGTGGATATCGGATGACAGCGAAAGGCGGAGTAACGTTGCTAGCAGCGAACGATACGGCCCAGCGATAAGGCCCATGTCACGTACAAAAACGTAAGCAATAAGTGAATCGGCCAATCACAGTCGATTATTCTTGGACCGTAAGGAGAATACTCGACTGTGGTTGGACAGTTGTTTACTGCTTATATTTTTATATGCGCCATAGTCCTAATCTCGCGCCATACGCCTATATATTCACCGTTGCCAGGAGATCAGGAACAGAATCAAAATCAAATTTTTCATAAATCAATTCTTTGTACATAATTATTGTATATAATTTTTTTTGCTTTAAATGCTGCATCTTCATATTTAACCCAAGATGGATGAACCGACTCGACGAATTGCATTATTCGCCGATAGTCAACCACTTATCTGTTATACTTTCAATTTGCTTGAAAAGAATTGGATTTCTCAGACGAATTTTCAACTCCAATTTTCCTCCAGCTGCCTTTCTACCGTCCATAAGCTGAAATGACATATATGTACCTTTTTACTCTATACAAGACATAGAAAAATAGTAGACGAAATTATATTGAATCATTTACGTACCGGAAAGGAATCATGCAGAGTACATTGATTTTCCAGAGGTTGCAATTTAACTGTCACTGTACCGAGTAGACTGTCACTTCGGAAAAAACCTCTGAAACATCGTAAAAAGACATTGCAAGTATGTAAAAAATGTAGATACTTAAAAAAATTACTTTTGTATCATAAAAATTAAAATATATATGTTGATACAAATTGTTCAGATAAAAAAAATATTTTTGTCAAAAACATTCCGAGAAAAGATATAAAATTTTCCTAGTAAAAATGGAAGTGTGTTCCAATTTTACAAATATGTCAATACACTTACGAAAAATATATTACGAAAAATATATTACAATAAAGAGATTATATACAAAAATAAATAATACAAATTATAGAAAAATTAAGCTTTCTAAACTTTTCAAGATCACTGCGTTACTTACGCACACAGTTACGTGGCTTACAGACGTACACCCATTTAAGAGATAGCTTTGATTGATTGAATTTTACTTAACAATTTCTATTTTATGATATATCGCAAAAGCGAACATGGAAAGCGCAAAATGAAATGATACTTTTTCATTCGATTTTCTGTAAAGAGTAGCGTTATAAATACCAATTTTATTAATACTGCACGTATTCTTTCTCTATCTCTTCCCCTCCCTCGTGCACGTGTTTACTTCTATAGCTAGTTTTTTTTATAGTGAATTGAGAAAACGTTATACATAATAATGCCACAATGCTTAAAACTGTGCTTTCAAAAGCTCTGTGTATAATAAGCTGCATACTATATAATAGTATGGAGATGTCATACCTGGGATGAGTGCAACACAGGATGGGATTCAGTGAGCATCTGCAAGCAACGTTCTTACTTTTTTGATATATGATAACAAATGGAAAACTTTCTATTAATAATTTTATAATACTATTAGCATCTACGCGGGATATATTGCAAGTTACACAGGTCGTTTTTTATCTACAAATTTTTTGGTCAGTTTGTAGTCCATCTTTTTCTCACAAAAATATTCAAGAACTGATAATTTTTCAGTTACAATTGAAAATAAAAAATTAATCATAAAACTTTGTTAAAATTAGTTAGAACAATATTTTATGTCGTAAATTCAAAATGTTAAATAGACTAATAATGTGAATTTTAAATTAATTTAATTTTTGAAATTGTTTCTCTTTTATTGTTGCGCTTTTAGGGGGAGGACAGCATTATTCTGCTTCTTGTATTCGCAAGAATTAATTTAAAAGTACATCTTGACAGCAGAATTTAAAAGTTAAAGTGTTAATTTAAAAATGTATCTTGACAGCAGAATAAGTTAATATACAATAAGCTAAAAATGTTCAAATTAAAGTTCTAAACGCTACTAAACAAATTACCCTTTTGCCCAAACTTCACATTTTAGAGCGTGTCGTTTGAAAGCTCTCTGGCATTGTCTAGAAGTGCGACTTATAATCCCATTTAAAGGAAATACTGCCTGATACTCGGGATTGGTAGAAGCTCTGGCTGTCGACGTTCTATCCGTAGGATGGCTATCCGACGGAAATGGAAATTCAAATATAACGTATGTATCCGCTTCACGAGGATAATTGATTCCTCTAATTATAGATATCTCGATGTCGCTGTCATTTAGATCCGTGCAACTCCTAAAAAGAAATCATTTTCCTCAGAATTAATTCTTATTACATAATATAAAAAAAAGAAATATAATTAATTGATTATATGTATGTAATTAATGAAATATACTCTTTCTTCAAATATAGATTGTGCAATTAAAAAGATCACACAATCGTCTATTATAATTCTATGTTGTCTAGAATGCAGCTGTATATTCAATTTAAATAGAATGTTTCCATTATTATTCACTTATGTAAAAAACGTGTTTGTCTCTCTTGTTAAGTAGCTATACTAAACAATCTAGAGCAATATAATAACATCGAATGTCTAGTTAAATCCAATAAAACTGTGATTACAATCAATGTATCTCAAAAAGTACTTATGTTGTGATATTATGAAAGAAACGCATATTTTTTTACATCCTCAAATTTCAACAACGTAAAAACATACAAGATCAAAAAATTATTCCACTACGAACATATCATGCAACAGTTTTACGTCATTGCACATCATGTTCAATATTTCAGAATATTTGTGTGTGTGTGTGTGTGTTGATTGTTATCCAAATATATATAATATATTGACATTTCAGATGCGATCATATTAATGATAAGAAAATAATTTTATACTAACTGTACTATTTGATAGGTTTTGGTTTCATAATGATGTTGTGGCGGCGGCAGTGAATTGCGTTTTCGAACTCTCAACATATCTAAATCTCGTGTATAGCTAAGTGCAAACCGTTCCCATCTATTATATCCAGGCACGTCTCCCAAAGCTTTCGAGTGATCTCGTGTAGACAAACACCACTGTAACATTAAATATTTCACTAACAACGGTGTAACACAATTTGTTGGAAGTTAAATTATGAAATCAAATCATATAACTGTAAAAATTAATAAATTGTACAATTACTGATTTAATAATGTTAATTTATTTATATAGTTCTAAAAAATGATAAATATGTCTTACAACTACCAAAATGTATTTAAATAGCATATTTTAGAAATTATCCTGACTATGACTTTTTAATTTTGAGATTCTGTACTCCTGATCATTAAAATATACCATTTAAGTAAGTTACGATGATTATAAGGCTGCTTTCTCCACCTCTGTGGAGTCTGTGGGTCTATAGTGTGTCACAGATTTCAGTCGTATGTATTACTTAAAAATTACCTTAATCTGTTTAATTAACTGAGCTTCAAGATTTTCATAAATTTGATCATCAGATCCACTAGGGTCGTCAAACAAGTCTTCGGCAGATACCAATGTGAAATTATCATCTTTTTGAGATATGCTAAGTTCGACTCTTTCAAGAGGCGATAATGGAATCGAATTCATATCAACAGGCAAGCCAGCTTTGCTAGCTTCTATTAAAGGCTGTATTCCCTTCGCTTGCCTGAGATAATCACGTGCCAAATCCATATCTCCATCCTTCTTAGCATTTAGAGCAGCTTGCTTTAATTCACGTTGCCTTAATTGCAACTGAATCATTTGTTTTTCTGCACGCGATGTAATTCGTTGATTTGGTTTTTGTCCTAATAAAAAATATAACACAGAAAATCTATAAACAGAATACTCTATAATTGCAACATATGCTAGCAATTATGTCACAATCTAGTGATTACTAAATAACCATAAAACAATTTATACAGAAAATATTTCACTTTTTTTACCTGTTCTAGGAGGTGGCACTGGTTTTGGTGGAGGTGGCGCGGGTTTTGTTACAGAAGTATTTTCGGGTGCCACGGGTGCGGGCGGTGATGTCGCAACAACATTGTTGTCTGGCGAGCTGGACGATAACGGTGGAAAACCAGGTGGTACAGGTAATTCGTCTAAAGGTACTGACTTCCCGCGAGTATGCAACTTTATAGCATCCTCGAACTGTTTGCAAATCCTACCATATCTACGTGCTTTTGAAGTATTTCCTTCAGCTTCTGCAGCTACTTTCGTTCTCCTGTATACTTCGAGACGTTCCTTAAGAGCACCTCCAATATCTTCAAGACCAATCTTTGCTTCAGCTGAGTCAGCTTTCAACACAAAATATTATATTATTGTGATTTAATTAAAATTCTCTTTGTTAAAATATTCTGAGAGAGAGAAAGAGCATTTTATATAAATTTTATTATATATTATAAACACGAATTATATGTTACAAACACGAATTTATATGAGTAAATTTGTATCTAATTAAAATCTTTACACTTTATAAAATGTAAAAGTGACTTTTTATTGTTCTATATGTTACTACTTACTGTTATTACACATTAATAACATTACATATTAATTACATATTAATAATATAAATTACATATTAATATAAATAATTTATACTAAGTAGTAAATAAGAATAAATACATTTTTATAAATTTCATATCTTTATATATTTCTTCTTATATTTCTTACAATACAGAAGTATAAATGAATAAAATATACAACATATATCTATATCTCACCTATAGGTGGTGTATCTGTGGAAGCTTGCTGAACTTCGCTCTCTTCTTTCTCTTCTGGCGTTGCAGTATTCACAGCAGGTTCACGAGCAGGTAAAGTTGGACTAGGTGGCATATCTGACAAATCAAGCTTTTCACCTGCAGTAACTGCAGCTATGACTATATCGAATTGTTTGGCGGTTTTAGCATACTCTATTGCTTGTTCCTTGTTACCCGCCCTCTTCCAGGCAACTGCTGCAATCTTATACTTTTGCTGTTGTGCCTTTAGTTTATCTAAAGCTTCCTGATCAACTGTGACATCAGCTGTTGGTTCAGAAGGACTATCCGGAACAACAGATAGTTCGTTGACTTCAGTTGGTGTTGTGACTTCAGTTGGTGTTTCCTCTATTGCAAAAAATACGAAATAATAAATAAATATTTTAAATGCCCTAAAATGAGAAGCAATAATTGAGATGATATGTTGAAATGGTCTTTCTACTTTGTATATATTTCTTACCTATATTTTTAGCTGTAGATTCTGTAGTAGTAGCTGAAAGAGGCAAGGATGGAGGAATTTCATCCTCGTTAACATTTCCACCTGATTTTACACAGGCTATCATTCCCTTAAGTGTCCTTACACCTCTATTGTATCTTCTTGCCCTACCAGGTTCCTTTTCGTTCTTTGCTTTTTGTTCAGCCAGCTCATATATTGTCAGTCTTTCTTGTAACAGCTTAATCAGTTCTGGTATAGAACCATTTCCCCCCTTAGTTTCAGTAGATTCAAGATTATTTGGTTCATCTTGTTTTTCCTCCGTTATTTTTAACTCTTCCACTTCTTCTGTCTCAACTTCATCACCTGTGAGTCCTTGTAATTCTTTCAATAACGCAGGATCATCATCTCCTTCAGATAGCTCCTCATCACTATTTGTATCCTTCATACAGTCAGTTACCATTTCATCTAAATTTGCATCAGCAGCTTTACGTGCAGCTATAATATATACATATATAATATAACAGAAATTCTAGCACTAAAATATTAAACTTACAGTAAATTTTAAATGAACAGTTTTATAAGTTGGCTAATCAAGTTGTCCAAAATTTACCTAATCAGATATAGTATACTAATTATTTCCTTGATATTAATATAATTTTGAATATAATATTACTAAAATATAATCATAACTTTATCTATTTATCTTTGTGTTAACAATAGCTATATAAAAATTTTATTATAGCACAATATATACCAGAGAATATAAAAACTGTTAAATAAAATATACAAATTACATTTTTTTATTTTGTAAAGTTTAGAATACTCTATAAAAGATACATAATTTATAGACTTCTATTAACATACCATTGCGTCTGCGTTTATAGCCTGTATCATTGCCAGCTGCCAAAGCAGCCAGTTCAGCTTCCAGATCCTCATCATCAGCATCATCTTCCATCATATTACCACCAATATTGTCTATATTTACATCAGGCACTTCAAATATGCCATACTAAGAAATATAACCGTTATTAATAAATAACAAAAGAGGAAAAATATATTGTACCTGATATAATCTATTGTGTACTATATAGTATTCATATAATAAGTTCAGAGAGGTATCGATTATAATTACAGATTATTTTTCTCATTATTATGAAACCATGAAAAAGAACCTATTAATTTCCACTAATCTACGATGATTAATTTCAAAATGTATGAAATACATGGTTCTAAGAAAGATTAAGACGAACTTTATATTACGCAATTAACAAATTACATATTTGTTACCTGTTCTAGGCCACCAATTTTTCTGTGTCGTCCTTCTTTTTTCTTGCCAAACATGTCACACTTTAATTATAAGACGATGTAAATGAAGATTGATCTGAAAGATACGTCAAAACTCGATACTCCAATCGACAAAACTACTGTGATGATTCATGATCTGTTCTTTTCAGCTGCACTACTGAACTGGTGCAATAAGTTAGAGTGAAAAAAAATATACTTGTCTCACTTTAACTTATTGTACCAGTTCAGCAGTGCAGCTAAAAAGAACAGACCATCAAACAAGAGGCAAGACAGGTTTTTCGCGCATGCGCAACAAAATGACAGAGAATCCAATAAAGGTCTGTTCAAATAAACTTACATAATGCATATACCAGAGAGAAGCATGAGAGCGACTACCAGTTTGATTCAGTACACTCCACGGGCATTGTCTGTCTTTCCATTCTGGCACAAGCTCCTCTTACAAGCCGCACAGGCCGATTATAGTAATATTACATATATGGCGGTACCTTATATATCAAGGTAGCGTTCCAAAACATCCTTTTTGAGGAAATTTTACTCGAGACTCTATAGTTTATGTAACGTGAATTGTAAGTATTGAGTAAAATTTTCTTCAAGAAAAACGTTTTGAAATGCAACCCAAGTGACTTTAGCGCCTAGCTCTAGCCACTAAAATCAAGCTGGTAGCTGCTCTCAGACTTCCCTCTGCATACACACAAGGAAGTTGACCAATCGTGTATCCGATATAAGACATTTTCTCATTGCACAAATTGATTGATCTCTTCATTCATATGCATTATGTGATTATGTAAGTTTATCTGAATAAGCTTTACGTCTCATCTCGCATTGGTGCCATCTCATACTCAGACCGCGTTCCGTTTCACGCATATGCGCGCATTTATCTATAGTTCGTGTCACGTATATTATAGGCAATGCGCGCATAATGCGTGAAACAGAACGCAACCTCAGATGTCGAACTAATATCCCCCACTCCTAACATATAGCGCACACCTATACCTGTTTCATCATATCAAAGTATCAGAGATTCATGCCAGACACATTAGTGGCAACGTGCATGCGGTGCCCTACGGAATATCTTACTTTTTTTATATAATTATAACTAAACATGTAATTATATGTACAGTTTAATGTATAAAGGTATCTGAAATCTTAAAACGAATTTTCGTCTTATATGAGACAACATTTTAAGAAATAGTTTGCTCGTTACGCGTGCGCAAATTTTGTCTATCTCTCATCACCTGATCTTCATTAGAATTTGGAAGCCTTGCTCCTGCCGGTCGTAGGATTAGAATAAATCTGTTGAAATAAAAACTATATTCATGCAGATTGATTATCAATCGCTGTAAATTTTTTTTTTGTAAAATGCCAGTTATTTCGCGATATCAGAAGTTGGCTATAGGTCTTGGTGCATTAAGTGGTGCAATATTATTTTATTACAATGCTTATGGTAATGACTCACTACGAGTTCACAACTCGTGGACCACAAATTTTACACCCTCGGTAAAGTGGGATCATAATTGGGATAGGTAAATCATTTAATATTCTTGTTCTTAAAAATATGTAATATTTTTTCTGGTATTTATTAGATTTTTTATGTAATACTTGGAGACTAAACAAGGTTATATTGTATTTACAGAAGGGATCCAAAAAGTTTAGTAAAGCCAATGAAAATAAATGACGAAAATGACGAGAACAAGTATAATGAGAAGTTTGAGGCAAAAAAGGCAAAGGTTGTACGACATATACTTTTGATTCGCCATGGTCAGTATCATACAGATGGAAAGACTGATATTGATAGAATGCTAACTGATCTTGGTAAGTATAGGGCTAGTTTTTTAATTCATCAATGGATCCATCGCATGATGCAGTGAAATGCTATATTTGCGCATCATGTAGTGAATCCATCGATGAATTAAAAAACTCACCTATAATTTCTGTCATGTAACATTTTTATGCTTTATTGCAAGATATATATATATATATATAATATATATATATATATATATTATATATATATATATATATAATAATGTTCTAAATTTTTAACATTGCTTGTTTAAAATTACATTTACTTAATATATATTTATTTTACACGTATTTCTTAAGTTCTGTATTTATACCCTAAAATTTTTAATTGGGAATACTGAAGATTTAGAATAATTTGTAATTATAATTAGCAAACTATATGTAGTTTCTAAAGAATATATCTTATATAAATTTTATTATGTTCTATGATTTCTTAAATCTTGTCACTATAGTAATATACTTTTTAACTATCTATATTTTCTATTATATATATATATATATATATATATATTGGAAAATTACTTTTAAATAGCTTTCAATAATAGTATTAGTTTTTAAAACAATACAAATTATGGTATAACTTAATTTTTATCACTTTAAAGGTAGAAAACAAGCTGATGCAACAGGAAAGAGGCTAGCAGAACTAAACCTGCCTTATTCATTAATAGTGAGGTCTACAATGACACGTGCTCTAGAAACTTCCAGAATTATAGAAAAAAATCTATTAACTATCCCAGTTGAGGATGATAGTCTGTTAGTCGAAGGTGCGCCTATACCTCCAGAACCACCTATTGGTCATTGGCGGTCTGAAAAACATGTAAGTAAAATTTATACCTTTGGAAAATAAAGGACTAATGTCCATTTTCATAATCTTATATCCTCTATGGAATCAAGCAACTTTTGTTTGAAACATTTTGCTTTAAAATGAAAAGCATATCTGAAACTATTAAAAAATATTAAAGTAATACTTGTAGGTGTATGTATAAAACAATTCATTATTTCAGTTTTTCCAGGATGGACCCAGAATAGAAGCAGCATTTAGAAAATATTTTCATCGTGCAGATCCTAGTCAAGAAAATGATTCTTACACTATTCTTGTATGCCATGCAAATGTCATTAGATACTTTGTTTGCCGGTAAGATTTTTTCTTTTTGATCATATTTTAATTTAGTATTCTAGTATATCCACTTCTATACATATATAACTCTTTACTGTACATATATATTCAAACTACCTATTTTCTTTAAGAGCATTACAGTTTCCACCAGAAGCATGGCTACGAATATGCTTGAAACATGCAAGTATTACTTGGCTCTGCATTTTTCCTAATGGAAGAGTAACACTCTTTTGTTTAGGAGATACAGGACATATGATACCACAAAATATAACATCCAGCTAAAGATGCAAGGTGGTTTGTACATGGAAAATACACATCATTTTATACTCTTCATATATTGTATATAAGGACGTCTCAGAATTTGCAACTTATATTGCTACAGTGAAAAAAATGTGGAAAGACTAATAAAAATTAACTATTATTATCAGATAGACAATTATTTCTTAATATTATTATTTTGTTTTTCAAACTTATTAACTTTTATTTTTCTGGAACTTTTGATATAGTATTAAGTATAATATCAACATTTGAGATATATTCTCTCTCTCTTTATATATATATATATATATATATATATATATATATATATATATATATATATATATATATATATATATATA